ACTAGACTTCACAAATTTTGGGTTAGATAATGATGTTAGAGAGAGAGTGGACTGTGGAGACATATCTTAGTGGTGTTTAATCTGAAACACAATCTTTTAAGACTTTTATTCGCCATTTGGCTTTATGTTCTTCAAAGTGAAAACGCAGTCATTTAACAAATTCAATCTTTGGAGTTTTTAACAAACTCTAAATTCAACAAACTCAATCCTGATCCCAAAAAAGTGAAAACGCAGTTAATTGATGTTCACACGAAAGGGAACATTTCTTTCAAATTTTTGGATAAGGATGTATGGAAGAATTCCGTTTTATAAGTAAAAGAATTTAGATTTTATAAGTAAAATTTTACATGATTGGAGGATGGATGATAATGTTTGAATATTATATTGGTTCGCTCGCACTCTTTACTTAGCTTATCTTGTGCCTTGAGGACACAAAATAGAAAAAATCACACACACACATATATATATATATGTATATATACATGAACATATATATATATATATATATATATATATATATATATGTATTGTTGAGAGAGAGAAAGAGGGTCCTTCCAATAAGCCTGGAGATTGGAAATAAAATCTAGGAAAATTAAAGATATTTTGTCTTTCAACTCTAGCTCGGCAGGAAAATTAAAGATATTTAAAATAGTTTCGGCAGATCTGCCGAACTATTTTGACTGAAGCCACCCTAGTCATGCTACTAGCAATACCAATGCAGGCCTGGAAAGAAAATCAAAGCCGACGCTGTAGTTGAGTGTGAACCTTAAGTGTTCCTTTTTTTTTCTTTTTCATTGTTTATGCAATCCCTTTGTCTTGGCTCGTTTTTTTAGCAAACCAATTGAAATGAGATTTGGTCAATTTCAACCAAATTTTCTATTAGTTGATTAATGGGCATTAGTTGATATATCTTAGTTTAAAATGAATTTATTACATAAATACACAAACTCACATTTATCACGGCTAATGTATATAATACTTGGTCCGTTTAATACCATTTTTTCTCAATAACCTCTCCTGATTAGTACCAATCAAGTATGAGTTACTTAAACCCAATTTACGTACATTATGTTTTAGTTCAAAATATTCACTGGTTTGGGCAATCTTATCTTTTCGAGTCTCAAATTTGATAATCGATTCCTTCCTCCAACACTACATGTGACAACTTCCTATTATAGGGTGGCAGGAATTTTACCAGCTTACTCTTTTTCTTTCTGTTTTATTTTTTGGGAGTTTAAGAAATTTTATTTTGTTTCTTCCTTTTTTTTCTCATTTTGTGGTAAATCTTATTTTGGGACATTGAGAAAAGTAACAAAATTATACGAATAACAAGATGCAGGATGCAATCTATATTTTCTGAATGGAGTGGAAAGAAAACCTGAAAATCGTTGTTTATGAGCATCCCAACAGTGCAGAAAGCAGTGGCGAAGAAACACATAACCAGCTGAATCTCCAGCACCAAAGTATACGTAATCGGCTGCTTCGCCTTCATATACATCAGCCCCACCATTGGCAAAATCAAGCCGTACATAGCCGCAGCTGCCAGCATCATGAGGAACCCTAAAACGTACATCTTATTTGACTCTCCCTTAGGCCGATCACTGCTAGCATGTAAGCCCAAAACGGCCGATCCCACCGTCAACAAGACGATGGCATTCACCGAATAGGCTGTAAACTTTTGCTTGACAAGAAGGAAAGCAAATAAAGCAGTGAAAGCAAGCTGTGTAGCAATGATAATAGCCGAGGTTGACACCGGAAGCCGAGCCGCCCCATAGCCGTAGAAGTAGTCATCTGAGCCTGTGAGGAGGCCGATGCAAGCAGTGGCGATGAAGACTTGATATTTCATTAGAATAAGCTTGGATTTTTTGGGCCCTTGATCCGTTTTGCAGCGGTGGACATAGGAAATCAGTAGAGGGATGAAAGTAATAGGCCATGCTGCGGTCTGTAACCAGCTTGATAGCCATATTCTTTTCCCTCCTTTAACGAAGTAGAGACGGAGAAGAAGTGGGGAACCGCAGTTACCTATAGCTAGAATGATACTGTTGATGACAAGCAGGGTCTTCCTCAGGGTTTGGCTGGCCTGAGCTTCCATGATCTTTATGAATAATTCTTGAGGTTTTTCTTTTTATTTCTTTTATTGAATTCTGTACCTCAAGAACTGTAATTCAAATCATTTATGTAAAGAAGATATATATACAGCAAGGATGATACTCCTCCGTCTCGATACACCATGTTGTTCCGCTAGAACAAAAATACAAATGTTAAGTAACAAAATTAACAATAATTATAATAATAATTTTAACAATTATAAAATTAACTATAATAAAATAGTTAAAATAATAATATAATAATGCACAAATATGGAGGACTGAAGCACGGATATCTTGCTTTCTTTAAAGTGATTCAAGCCTCTGCAGAAGAATAAATTCCGGTGCAGCAGAATTTCTAGCTTGTCGCCCCCAACATACAATAGTCCAACCACAGTTGTTGTCACACTCATTAGTCTGCACAATTAAGAGAATATAGCTCCACTAACACTGATTTTTCTTATCAATTTATGGGATAGAAAATAACAAAGGAGTAGATAGTTTTTCTCTTATGAATTGTAGCTCACAAAATATAAGTTTTTTTTTTCAATCTCAACTATGCATATTTATAGGTGAAGAAAAGTTACACAAACATAACCTACACTACCAACAAGACACCAAGTAAATGTTAAAGTTATTGGCCATTCAAAACATATTCAAATTTGTATTGTAGGTTACAAAAGCTTACTGTAATTGAAAAATCATAATTTCACATAATAATTCTTTAGTCAACACCCATTCAATTCAAATTTGAATTGTAAGTTACAAAACCTCAATGTAATTGAAAATCCATAATTTGATATAATAAGTCTTTATTCAAAACCATTCAAACACCTATAAATTGCAAAAAATTTTACCAATATTTTCCTTGTAACTTGCACCTTTAATTGAGAATTTAACTGTTTTATCAAAATACTGCAACAATCCCCCGCTTATTTTAACAAAATAAAATAGTATAATATTATATGGCAAGAAATGACTAATATGCATAATATAGATAGTAATGCCTTGAACCTATATTTAGTGTTATAGTAATTTCTAATACTAGAGCTAGTAGTGAACTTCGATCTTGAACTATGGCTGCTTTTGAGATATTGGATATCACTTTACATACACAATAGTCCAGGTGTTCTCATGAGCTAATAAAACTGGCACTTTACACGGCCTTGTACTCAATCCCAGTTTTTTCATGAGTTTATAAGAGAACAAGTCCCAATTCTCTTTAGGGCAGCCTCACCCACAACACTCATATACGTGAAATCCATCAAGGGTGCTCCCGTAATTCAAACACCCCACTCATAGGAGCTATAGATTTCATTTAGAGCAATATGGCTAAATCTTTCTTCCATTACAAGATGTATGCACATATATCATAGCGATGGAATATTAATATATAAAGTTGTGCATATCTTTATTCAAATCACTAAGTAATTCGTTTTTCCCTTTAAATCTAACTCTTGGGATCTCCAATCATTAGGTTGGGTATTCTTACATGTGATTTATGATTCATGAACTTTAGTCACATCCATCTCATACTTTATCATATCTTTGCCACAAGCTTGAGTTATTTACTATCATCACAAAACATAAACAAAGACATGATCTCATCGGCACTTGAGTCAAATTATTTTCATCAAGTATCACAATAATATAGTGATAATACCAATATTTCGTGAGAATATTTCTCACATAATTGCCATACAAGCAATTATATACACTTTAAGTGAAGGCTCAATGTTTTTCAATTTTTTTTCTATCCTAGTAGTGAGTAGTCTCACTAGAAATCATCAACATAGATGACCATTAGTTTACTACTAGGAACTACTCTATTTCTCAATAATTCTCAATTTCATCTCTCAATAATTCTCAATTTCATCTAGTAGGCCAGTAGTCTATAAACCTACTAGAAACCATATTTACCATCTCCATGGAATTTCCATATAATTTCTTTTCGCAAGAGTATGAAATACCTACTTCAAGTGCCTTCACATTATAGTACCACTATAATGAGTGTCCATTTGCACAAACTCAAAGAAAGAAATAAGAAATCCAAAAATATGATACTCAATGTCATTTAATATTGCACTTAATTGTAACTTTAAAATTCATACCCACAAATTGCAATTATAACATCGTATCACATGAGATTTGTATATATATTTTTCAAAATATAGACCCATGTCATTTAATAGAGTATCCTCAAGTAATTAATCTAATTCTTTGCATTAATTTAATGCAAAGAAAATACCCCCCACTATTTCTAATTTTTTTTTTATCAATCTCATGAGAATCACCAAACATAGATTGAAGTCTATGTGTTGTAACATGACTTTCATCAATTACAAAGTATATCAAATAAAATTCCCCATGATATAAGATATACACTAAACTGATAGACTTTGAAAAAACACAAATGTTTGTCATTATGGCTAACAAATTCTGTAAGCACCATTATTGATAGTATGCATTATGACCTGCATTTTTTTGAAGCTTTCACAATTCTAGAAAAAAGATATTCCACTCAAATTAATTCAATATAGATGGGATGACCATAACTTCCTGACTCCCTGTTATTCTTTGACAATCAATCACATATATATCCACATAACAATATAACACTACAAGAAAATTGATTTTTAGTGACAAGCCATTTTCGTCACAAAAAAAAAGAAAAAGTCGTCACTGATAAGTTTTATTGACAACTTTCTAGTCGTCACAGATTCGTCACTAAAGGCCTGTCGGTAAAAGTATATAGTGACAACCTTAAAAGTCGTCAGTGTATGGTTCTGTTCTGCGACAACTGGTGTCGTCAATAATTGGTGTAATTTTAGTGATGACATAGTATCTTGTCAATAATGTACAAAGCAATGTCGTCACTAAAACTAATCGATAGTTGACACTAGTATAAACTAATTACTGACAACTTTTGTTGTCACTAAACACTTTTCAATTGTATAACAATAGGTGGTTGTCAATGGTGAAATCTAATTCAGTGACAACACTTTACCACCATGAAATTTGAAGATTTTCCTGCTATAATTATATCTAAAAAATGAAAAATGACAATGCTTTACAATTAACAAATGAAGGCATCCATTTCATTACAAAATGCCAAAATATCATTTTAAACATTCAAAAATCATAATCAAGTTCAACAACACCCTACAAATAGTTTGATAAGTGATATTTGGCCTAAATTTCACAAATAATCAAGGCAGTTTTACAAAATAAATCCAAGTCCCCAAAAAAATGTGTTGTCGAAACATTTCCTAAGTATAAGATTTTCTCTATAGTTCTTGAGCCAATTAGCAATTCTTGCTGATGATCTTCCAAAAATCTAAAATGAGCAACATACCTGCAGTGAAGTACTTCAATTATTAGTAGGAGATAAGAAAAACTTGAGACAAGAAAGCGAACTTAAGAATTTGCAAGAAAATAAGCTAAATCATTTCTTTTAAGTATCATCTAGACAGTGACTAAATAAGGGCAAAGTAAGAGATAAAGCACTTAGAACTTTAGAAATCAAGAAACACTTCTTTTATTTTTACTATGATATTAAAAACTCAAGAAACAATTAATATGCTTATGCTACTGTATTAAGAGCAAAACGGTGATCCTTCTATGGTTTCGTAGGGCCCATTTGTATGGTTCATTCAAATAGATCATGCATAGCAACTTCAACTTTTTAGATATCGAGAATGCATATTGTTCTAATAGCAAATATCTCATGCCAGTAGCTTTAACAGCATAATATTAAGTAGTTATCAAGAAAAGTATGCATAAGATATTATGAAATACCAGATCAAGAAATTTCTTTTCTACTAGTTAGCTTAGAGACTGCTTGCAGCTTGTTTATATGCAATGTCTCCTAGACCAAAGTGTAAATTGTCACTTTTATCGAAACTGTGTTAACAAGGCCCAAGTGTTTGAAACAAGTATAACATAGATGGAAAGGAGTATATATTTAACCAAAAAAATCACATAATTGGAAATTTCATACCATTTACTAGGCTCAAGATCACTTTTGCATTCAAAGTGGCAGAAGGCTGCAAGAATGGACCAATGACCATTCTTGGATTAATTGCAATCATGTCAATACCATGCTCCTTTGAGAAATCCCAAGCAGCATTCTCTGCCAAAATTTTTGATAATTGATACCATAACTGAAAAGAGAGAACATATTTGGCTGCTTTAGTTGAAAGCATAATTCTTCAAGTGGGACATTAGAAAAAGTATGTTTTCTAGACACTTGGGAGACCATCCAGTCACATTCTCTAAATCCTTCTACTCTGGAGAATGGGGCTTATTTTAGAAGTATACATGGCTCTAAACAGGGCTAATTTTTCTCCCTCCAGACAATGTCAGTTGATCGCGTTGAATGATTATAATTATTGGCAGATTACTTGCTAAATTTACTGTTTTGATTTCTTAGCACTTGAATAAACAACAAAACAGAAACTAAAATTCACATCTTCAGTGACGTGATGTTTCCTTTGGGCATATGCCAATAAGCCTTCTCAAGCAAGCATTCCAATATTCATTCCATAGTAATATACTTTCTGGCTTGGAACTAATGCTACAATATTCTTTCATCTATAGCATTTTGGTTACAATATTCTTCTCTTGTGATGGATGATCATGGTAAGGGCTCTTTTGTTAAAGCTTTTTAAGAGAAGATGTTTTATCAGCTTGATGAATATTTAACTGTAGAGCCTTCTGTCAAATTAGCGCTACCAAACCAATTATTGTAAATGCTTTCTAAAGCCTTCTTAGTGATACTACTACCTTCCATAAACTAATTGAATCAACTAGAAGATTTTTGTCAGCCAATCAGAGAATTGGGCTGACTTCATGGAATCTAACAAATAGCAAGCATTTCCTCAGGCAGTTTAACTGAAAATAGTAGATTGACACACCTTGTGCTCCTCACAGTATAACGGATCTGAAAACCAACTTTCATCTACTATGACACCATCCTTTAGTTCATCATTGCAAGTAACTGCTGCAATAGAAGACGTTAAAATCACTCATTTGATAGATGAAACTTTGGCACAAGACTGTAGCACATTCAGTGTTCCTTTCATCCTAATTACTCTAAACACTCAATTAAGACTTGAAGTTCCTTCAAGTTACTTGAGGAAATCCACAAAAACAGAATCATAGAAACAGAGACTTGCAAGATGCTCTTTGAATACTATCATTTTGTCGGCAACACCGTATAGCTGCTAAGAAACTAGAATACTCACACTCTTTACACTTGAGACTCCTAGTACACAACAATTTTGTAACTGAGGAAGTCCCAAAAAGCTTCAGTGCTAGCAGCAAGATAGCAACCAAAAACAATAGGGCATTGACTGCCAAACTATTAAGAGGAAATGTATGACCAAGAACAATGACAACAGGACCATAAAAAAAGTTCAGTACACATATATTTGGTCTACTTGCAAAGACCAAAGCTTCAAACAGACCACAAAATTCATCCAATCACACCTCTCGCCTCTCAAATCTTTTCTATGCTATTTCATTATATAATTTTAACAGCATGTATACCATATATGTAAATATAATTATTAGTACTATTACTAATTAATAAAGCTTTTTAACTGAGAGCTAGTAGTTTTTGCTTTTATTTTTGATAAAAAAAACCAAATAATTTTGAAGAACCCCTTTCAAGAATCATTTTTTGTAGGTGCTTGAATGGGTTGTTCTAGTTTAGCTTGGTTTCAAGCAAAATTTGAAGCTTTCTGGGAATTTTGAAGATTAAACTTTAGTGCATTATCTCTTTGCTCAGCCACATAGATAATCAACTAACGACTCCCCAGTTCCCACTCCACCTAGCACCACTTAACCCACTATTTCTCTCACCTGCAGCCACTCATAGCAACATCATACCATAATCACCTCCTTGCTCTCTTCCACTCCCTCCACCACCATCCAATTAGGCATCAGCTGTTGCCCCACCTAGTCCCAACCCAAAACCGCACTCACACATAAGCCCATTGAATCTTGTCACCGTGAATTACATATGGAATTGGGTGATCAAGTCTACATCCCATGGTTGTTCAAAAGTAACTTAAGCAATTGCAACTATAGATCAAATACTTCTACCAGAAGGAGATGATTAAATCCATGACTCTAACTACCAGAAGCAAATGCAAAAAAAATATTTGGGAAAAAAATTTAGGGCAAATTAATTGAGGAAAAAATTAGGGAAACAGGGAGAGACATGAGAGGACCTACCTGAGAGTTAGTGGAGAGCACCATGGAGGCGGAGGACGAGGTGGATTGTGGACTCTTTTTGGCTCCTTCCAGATGTTGTAATCAGCTAGGGTACGGCCATCCTCCAACTACTTGCCGACGAAGATGAGGCGTTGCTGGTCCGAGAGGCTGCCCTCCTTGTCCTGGATTTTGGCCTTGAAATTGTCGATAGTGTTGCAAGACTCCACCTGAAGGGTCATGGTCTTCCCCGTCAGGATTTTCACGAAGATCTGCATCTTTGATGACAGCAACAGTTGCCGGCTGCCGCCTCTGCTGCTGCTCGGGTTTTGGGAAATGAATAAAGGGTTTGACTGAGGGATTGAGAGTGAGGAGTACAGAAGTCGCAGGATGTGAGGAGTAAGACTGGTTCCTTTGCTTAGTGTATGTACCCGCGCCATTTTTTTCATTTTTAGTTTGAACAAATTTTTGGTACTAGTCAATCAAGACAACCCAAGTCAACTTTTAGCTTCAATTTTTATTTAAATTTACTAGTATATTTCTAATCATTACTTCTTAGCATATTTATTAAAAATTATAATGGATGAAAATTTTTTGCTAAATTCAAACAACTGATAAATGTACTCTTTCTCAACTTGTAATAGTTTATATAGTTATTATAACTAGAAACTTTCATTAATTTTTTCTAGTTAAAGACCTATTATAATTTGAGAAACTATGACTAGTTTAATAAATCACCAAATTTAAAAAAAAATTAAATTAATATTGAGGCTCACATTTAAATAATTGCATTGGAGATGTTCAAGTTAGTGATGATACTTTGTTGTCACTAACTATGCTATAGTTTTACTGACGAAAATTGGTCATCAGTAAATATAAACAGTGATAAAAATGAAAAGTTGTCCAAGAAAGAGATAGAATTACTGACGACTTTTATCAAGTTGTCACTATCGCAAAACTCGCGCCTTCCAAGTCCCATGGCGCGAAGTAGGTTTGTGACGACAATTAAGGGTTGTCACTAAAAACTTAGCTGCTTTGAGTCAATTGTGACAACCTTCAATATCGTGACTAAACAACCTCATTTTGTGACGACTTTTTGTCATCACTAGAAAATGTTGTCACTAATGACCTTTTTTCTTGTAGTGTAATCTTCATTTTTTAAAGTCACACATATTCATTAGCTTATCAAACACCACAAGTAATAGCAAAATTCTTATAACACATGTTAAAGAATTTATGGTGCTGCTTTGAAATTCAACTTGACACAAGATATTATACAAATTCGTATTGTATACGCAGTGATTGGAGTTTACATCTATTAAAATTCATAAATTCAAGTAAATAGCTCGATTGATCATGCCATCATTTTGAGAAGGATGGAGTAAAATTTGCATACTAGCATTGTTAGGTTCATGAATAAAGAATTATATCCCACATTGGTCCGAGAGATAGAAAAAGAGCGGTTAATATGTAAGTAAGGGACCGAAACCTAATGGCTTAAGTTTTTTGGTCAGAGTTGGGTTTTTGACTTATATATTGGGCTCTTTGATGGATTATCTCAAGGTGTTTCTCCCTATCAAATTGGTATCAGAACTTCAGGTTGTGAGATTGGGCTATTCATAGGCAAGTGGATTCTTCTCAGAGTTGGACCAGTGAAAATTCTCTTCTCGATGGTGGACCAAAGTGCCAAAGTGCTAAGGAGTTTGGCTAGTGTTGGACTAGGTACGCCATGGGTTTGGTAGGGGTCCAGTTGTCCTTAGACCAAGGAGCCAAAAGGTTCGCAGGATTCCAGAATGTAGTTTGGACGTTGAAGAAAAGTGGGTCCATGTTTGAGAGAAGATGTGACCTTAGGTGATAAGATGGGCTTGCGTTGAGTATTAAAGTAGACTCAAAGAAGGGCGAATAAATTTGAGTTTAATGTGGGGGTTACTTATAAAATGGGAGATTTGTTAGATTCATGAGTAAAGGATTATGTCCCACATTAGTTCGAGAGATAGAGAAAAAGCGATTAATATGTAAGTTAGGGTACGAGACCTAATGGTTTAAACTTTTGGGTCAGAAGTTTCTGACTTACATATTGGGCACTTTGGTGGAATTTCTCGAGGTGTTTCTCATTATCAAGCATAACTTGGGAGCATGAAATATGGACATTATACAACTAGTATGAATTTCTTTTATCAAATAAAGGGTTTCCAATAATATGATCATATCACACAAGCCAAATTTACCTAGGTTAATTTGGTTATACATAAACTCTTCAATAGATCAAGTCATCAAGTTGCTTACCCGTTTGCCTATTAGAAGAAATAAGAATTCATTTTTTACTTGTTAAGAAGGCACCTTTTCTTCCAAAATGCATGATTGCAACTTGTGTAATGTTGTAGCAAGTTGTAGTTGTTCAGCAATTTGAACTCCCCGGATCTGTTCTTCTTCCAGATTTTTGGGCAATAGGATAAGAAATTTCATAAAAAATATGAGCTTCATTATTAGAAAGATTACATAACAATTAATTCAAACAATGGAATTCAACAACTTCCCTTTTTGCTGAATTTTTCTTCACAAATATTCTTTTGTACTTCATATATCTCATTGGTTGAGATCTTCTCATTTTTTCATGTCCATAGGTAGACTACTCAAGTTACTTGAGTTGATAGTAAGGACTTATAAGTTGAACTCCATCTTGATTTGAATCACCTTAAAATTGTCGTTCCATTAGAACAAAAATAATAATATAATAATGCACAAATGTGGAGGGTTGAAACATGGATATATCACTTTTCTTTAAGGTGATTCAAGCTTCTACGAAAGAATCAATTCCGGTGTAGTAGAATCTCCAGCTTATCACCCCTAAGATACAACAACTCAACCACACTTGCTGTGTCAATCTATTAATTTGCACAACTAAGAAAGTAAAACTTCACTAACACCGATTTTTCTTGCCAATCTATGAGATAGAAAATAACAAAAGAGTAGATAGTATTTCTCTTATGAATCGTAGCTCACAAAACACAAGTTGTTGTTTTTTTTCTATCTCAACTATGCATATTTATAGGTGAGAAAAAGTTAGACAAACATGACCTACACTACTAACAAGACACCAAGTAAATGTTAAAATTATTGGCCATTCGAAACACATTCAAATTTGTATTGTAGATTACAAAAACTTATTGTAATTGAAAAATCCCAATTTCACATAATAATTCTTTAGTCAACACCCATTCAATTCAAATTTGAATTGTAATTTACAAAACCTCAATGTAATTGAAAAGCCATAATTTCATAAAATAGGTCTTTGTTCAAAACCATTCAAACACCTATAAATTGCAGAAAATTTTACCAATTTATTTTCCTTGTAACTTACACCTTTAATTGAGAATTTAACTATTTTATTAAAATACTCCAACACACTAAATATTGGTACGTCAAATATTGGTTTATACTGACCCACTCAAAGATACACTAAATTCTGGAGGCACTACAACAAAAATGACCTTTAACGGCATTTAAAGGTGTCAGTATAGATAATTTAACCTGACACTTTACCTTTTCTCACACCTCAGACGAGTGTCGTCCCTTCCAATGTGGGAATATGCTCGTTGCATTAAATGTGTCAGGAAAACTATGTTGTTATAACATCCCATCTGCCAACAAAAATCTCTTTTCTTGATAATTGAAAGTATTAGGATAGCTATAGTACAACATTAGGATATCGAATTCTATACTGACACTTTTAATTGCCAGGAGTTTTTTTTTTTTTGATATAGAAGCAACCTTGCAGGTAGTGCTCCCTATTGTACATTCCGTCAATCAGAAAGCCAAAGGACTTTTAAAATTATGCCAAAGAACATAATGCATATAGTAATCTAAAAGCAAAAGTCAATGCTCAAATATAATTTGTTGAACTAAAAGTCAGTAACAAGTACTAACATAGCGAATCCCTAACAAGTACAAACTTCAAAGATTCTCTTGTGGACAAACTAAAAGATCCTCATGTGCACAAACTAAAAGATTCTCTTCCCTAACAAGTAGAAAGAACTTGCAGTAGCTTCCAAACTTTCCAATGAAATTACAGCCTTCAGTCATAACCACGAATACCCCATCAATCTTCAGCTGGTTCCACCTGTGCACAAAGTTTGTTGGGATCATTAGATCATCATAACTAGTAATAAAATTCATTAATGTGTGAAAAACATAAGGAACCACTTGCAAAAGCTGATCTTCAGTGTAGTTTGTGTGCCTCTCGCATGTCTTAGTCCACTTCTTGAACCCATTGATAGAGCATTGTGCAGTAAAGATTGCTGCTGCTGCTAAGAGAGACGGGGGGAACCTAAGCATTGCATACTCGACGAGGCACAGCTCAACGATAAAGAAGGACAGAAGCTCCAACTAGTCACCAGAAGATTATTGCCAGTTATTAGGCAGATCAAGATAGTGCAAAAAATTCACATACACTAAATACGAAACAATACCTTTTTATTAGATTGAGCAGCTTTAAGAAAGCGCCTCATGAAGACATAAGGAGTAGGCACTGAAAGATTAAATTGCAAGGTGTTGATCATGAAGCTCTCCTGTAGCGAGCCACAGTTCAATTTTAGTTATATGACAAAGGAAACCTTCATATATCAAAGATCAACTCATAGGCAATAGATGCAATAACAAACCTAACATCTCAAGCACGTCATTTCTGGAGTAAGCCCTGTCAGAAATCAATATGAGGTCTTCAAGGACAGGAACGGAAACTTCTTCATACTTGCAAGCCAAAAGCATTGCTGTCACTCCAACAAGTTGAAGTTTCCTGCGCACCAAAGAGACTGATGGTTTGGTAGTAATTCTGAGGATACAGCTGAAGACCAGAAGCACTGTTCTACTGCTGAAGACCAGTAAGATTGCAGATAGTAGGTGAGCTCTGGACCCTGTGCATATGCATTTGGGTGCTGTGATAACTGTTCTGGAGCATGGGTTCATGGGCATTTCCATCGGTGTTGCAGCTCTCAGGTGATCTTGGGGAAGAGCAGGCGGAAAATATGCCAAAGGAAGCCCCGGGGCAGGATGTATAGTTAGAGTTGGGTGATTCTTTTTACCTCCCAGTTGACTTGTTTTGCCACCCCTTCCTAGTTTTGTCTTCGATCACAAGTTGCAACAATAGTTTCAGCAGTCCATAAAAGACCAATATAAAGCACTAAAAAAATTGCAATTCTAAGCGAGTAAAGCATTCATAGATTAAAACATGCTAATTCAAAATGTACTACCTCTTAAGTACACGGCCAGCACTTCCATCATCGACAGTGAACAACCCAACGGCAATTTGTTTCGGCGCAATATAATTATACCCCATAGTCCTTGAATACTCCACGGCAGCCTCAAAAACCCGCTTAGTGCTCAGCGAAAACGGCACATCCGTGGCCGAGACCTCTGCCCCCTCAGGACCAAGACCACTCCCATTACCCTTACCATTCTCCTCCTTCTCATCAGTATTGGTATGCCAAATGTTCTTAACGGCTTGGCGAGCCATCTTGATTGTGATTCCAGAGCCTAAAAACCCACCGGAAGCACGATCTTCTGCGATAAGTCCTAACAAAAGATGCTGGGTATACACCATTTCTACCTCCAAAGCTTTCGCCTCCCTCTGGGAAAACATAACTGTTTTAATTGCTCTCTCAGTAAATTTCTCAAACACCCCAGCTACAATATACAATGATCGGTTTGACTTAGCTTTTCCAGACGAAACAGAAATCATGGTTTTGTCAGAAATCAAAATCCCAAAATAGGAAGAAGAAGAAGAAGAGGAAGAACAGAGGGTGCTGGTGCTGGTGCTGGTACTGCAGCTGCTGGTGATTGTAGAAGGAGGGTAGCTAGGAAAAGAGAAATAACATTCCGACAGCGGTGGTGGTGGCGGTTGTGGGGAGAAAGACGGCGGTGAGCTTGAGGAATGGAATGAACTGAAAGCGGAGATGATGAATCCCGTGGCTGATTCTTCCTTACTTTAACTGGTCACGGGAGCCAGAAAGAGTGCAAGGAAAGAAAGTGGAAGAAAGTCTCATTTTAGTACATCGGTCGTCTATTGTTTTCCAGGTTTCCTTTACCTATCTGCAATCGTCTTACGCCATCTACAAAAAGCTCCGGTCTTAACGCCTCTACTTGGCTGAGAGGTAATTTGCCGAGAGTTAGTTTGCGGAGAGGGTGTTTTTTGTGAGAGAGATCAAAAGAAGCAAAATTTGACTAAGTGTTTTGGCCGGCAAATTGAAAGTTTTGAATATTTCACAACAAATGAATCTTCCACCAATTCACTATGATGTTGTTTTGTACTTTTTTTTTTTTTTTTTTTATATATCTCACATTTTTTCAAGTGTCATAATAGGTAATTTAAAGACACATTATTATTTTTATATCAGATAAAATAAAAAAATTAGAGTGTATATTATTGAGTTGATAATAAATATTATAATAGAAGTGCTATAATGACACAAACTAGCAAGTGTCCTTGTAAGCATATCACAAAAAAACCATTTTTGTTGTAGTGAGGGTCCTTACCATCGCTATCCTCACTGTCATATTTGTTGAATCAAGTAGTACAGCAAGTCACCAGCTCTGGATAGTGCAAAGAACAGGATTACTACGTTGTCTCTTCGTGCAATGTATATGTTTCCTGTGCTTGTTTTATGTTAGCTTGTTGTGTTAGGGAACAATTAACTTATCATTAATCAATCATTCGTATCTTTTGACATTTAGGTCAAAGCAGCCACCTCAATTAGATAGATAATTCTGTTCTAGAAATAGCAAAAGTTGAAAATATCGGAGAACTTTATAAAATTTTAACTCTTAAAAGACCCCAAATGGTAGTCAATAGTAACACAATTAATCTTTGGGATAATTTCAGAAACCTACCCTGAGATTTCTAGTAGTTTCACTTGATACTTTCAAACCTTCAAAAAATCTCACTTGCCTTCCTTACTATAGACTTTTTGTATCATTTAAAAATATAATATTAACAAATTCATTTTGTGAGAGTAAATATAATTTCATTCCAAATTTTCCCTTTCATTGTCTTACTTTTTATTACCAAAATGGTGAGTATATTAATAATAAATGAAAAACAAAAACAAAAGGTACGAAGGTTTACTCTAATTGGACCAAATATAGTGTGTTTTTTTAAATATGAAGAGTTAATATTTGAAAGTTTATTTGAAGTTTTTGCAAGTTACAAAGATAATATTTTTCTTTATTGTAAAATGTTTTGAGTTAATTTAAGAAGTTTTATAAATTGTTTACATATTTTTTGAATTTTCTTTTTTTCCAAATCGATGGCTTGAAAAGTCAAAAGATATAATATTCTAAAAATTATATATAAACTTGTTTGCATGTTTTTAAGCTAGTGCAAAAATGTATTCTCATGCATAAATTATTGCAAGTTATTTTTAAGAGTATTGTAAATCGTTCATAATTTCAAGTAATATAACATTTCTTGTTTGAACCAATGACACAAAAACTATTAAAGTGTTTTTTTTATCATGTTATCAACTTTTAATTTTCATTAAAGAACTACATCGATCAATTTATAAAAATTAGAGACAACTTGATGTGTTATGATAATTAAAAAAATCATAAGAAAAGGGAAATTTTGGAATGAAATTCTATTTTCCCTCCCAACATGAATTTTTTAATATTATATTTTGAAATGGGTTTCAAATATTACAAAAAGTTTAAAGTAGAGGAGCCAAGTGAGATTTTTCAAAATTTGAGGGTGCCAATTGAAACTATAAAAAATCTAAAGGGAAATTTCTAAAATTATCCCTTAATTGTCTGTGACACAGTTTTCATATTTCATCTGGATTGGGTATATCACTCATTTGTAGCTTTTGATTATATTGTACAAAGCTGCCACCTCAATTAGATTCACTAATTATGTTCTTCAATTAGCAACAGATGAAAATATCAGAGAAGCTTCTACACTTTCAGACGACTCCAAATGCTAGTCACACAATTAAACTTTTATGATACACTTTTCATAAATTTGATGTTTTGTACATTAATCTTGTCTTGTGGTTTTTTGTATTTGATCTAGAGTGGGTATGGTGGTAAGGATGCCGGAGAAAATTTTCTGGTTGGTCTATATTTAAGGAAGTTGTTGGAGTATTGTCACCTGATGCATGCCATCGAAGCGGAAGCTTATACTGTCAGAGTTGCAGTCCAACTGCTCCATCTTTTGTCAACATTTACTGTTTCAGCACGAGTGATTAGTGCTCGTTTTACACCACTGGGCCAATGGCTCAGTGGCCACCAGAGAGGGACTTAAGTCTCTCCTTGGGCTGTTGGTGAGGATTCAAACCTCATCAGTAGCGAAAAAATCTAAGGGTTGTGCCATAACACTCCCTTGGTCTAGTTGGGTTTGTATACCCACTAGCCCCTACAACAGCCTTTTTAGGTTCCTCTCCCCCTAGATTAGGATAAAATAGGTTATACAAATGTATCGCTGCTGACAAAAAAAAAAAAAAAAAGATTGGTGGTCGTTTTACATGTTTTCATATGCTTGTTGACACGTGTTTTAGTGTGTTTTTATTTAAATTTAACTCGAATAATTAGGTTTCCAGTTAAGTTTTACATTTTGTGATTAAAGTGAGGAATATTGCATTTCTATGGACTTTAGCATGGAAACTTTATGTTTTTACAGGTTTAAAAACTAAGCCATCAAATGGAGCGAAGTGAGAAGATATTTGGATGATTATTAATAATTTAAAATTGATTTCAAGATTGTTAATGATTTAAAATTGATTTCAAGTTACATAAAGTGCAATTTAAATATAAGTTATTTTGTGGAACATAAGTTAAAGCTGTGAGTTAGATAACTACTACTAATATTTTATTTGTCCCCCACAATTTAATGAAGAATAGAAAGATGTCACTTGTCACCCCCCAAATCATATCCGGTTCAGATAATTACCCGCTTTAAATATTCAGAACCATGTACAATATCTTTTACAACTTGTACATCATCGCATACATGCTGGAAAGCAATGGCACAAATGGTAGAAGCCAAATATATTGTTCATGGAGAACAATGAACTCGCATTGGGAAAATAGTTATCCTAGATAATCTGAGCCAAAAACTTTTAACACAGGTAATTAAAACAACTATATTTCCTGGCCCACACCCCCAAGATCTATATTGTCTAATCCCATAATTCCTAACTTTGTGTCCACTAAATTTTTTCCAAGAACTGGAGGACTCTTTTAGCAATTAGATTTCCCACCATTTTTAGTTGAGCACAAGTCACAAAGGTGACGACTAGCCGCATGTTTGATCATGTGATATTCACATTATATACGTAATTTTTAATTTACTTTTTATCTCACATATATTACACTACAAAAAGTGATACAGTTTTATTCTAAATAATTTTTTTCACAAATAATCTCCTATCCACGCACATTTAGTGTTTCCTCCGGCATTAACAGCTAACATGAATTTGACCGGTACACAAGCCCCTTTTTATAAGAGGGAACATAAAAGGGAACACAAGCCATAGGACTAGATGAAACCCCTTTCCTATCCTTTTTATTTTTTTTTCAGTTATGTGTTTTACATTATTATCGTTTTCAGGAAGCATAATTGGACCAAAGGCCTTAAAAGAAAAGAAGGTTTGCTTGTGTATTAGTTTTAATCATCTTTTTTTTCTTAATTTTATCCTCCTAAAAATTTGACTGCTTGAACAAAAAAAACAAAAGTGAACAATAGCTTGCCAAATTATTGAGTAAAGTAAGGTTCTGAAAATGGTACAATCTGTTGTTATATTTAATTTGATGAAAGATTCAAACTTGAAACTTGTTTGATGGAAAAGATGGAAAATCTAGCCACTTTTATGAGTGGAAAACCAAATAATAAAGGTGTTTGTTTGACATTTTGGATTTTAACGTGGTCAGATTATGCCTTTGACGGGACTTTCTTTCTAAAAATATCTCCTGATAAATGGCTTTTTTTA